CTGTCCCAATTCCAGCCAATAAAAGGTGTGACAGTTTATGTCCTTAAGGATATTAATTACAAGCTCAATAATATAGTTATTTTACTAGTTCATATATTGCCTCACAAAAAACATTTGACTGTTAATATATAAAATCTTAGCTTCTGTTTGGTTTCTAATTTGATGAATTTACTTGGCACAGGTACTTAATCCATTTCTCCACTGATTGACCGTATCTCTAGATTGACTATCAAACATTTTTGAGCATCAAGGATAAATTTATAATTTTATTTGTCTTTATCTCTCTAGTTAGAAATGTCACAGAACTATGACTCATAATATTCTTTGATATCTCATATGTATAGTAATAAATGTTGCCAAGCAGAAATATCAAAACTATTTCAACCAGTATATATATTTTCCAAATGATGCAAGTTAAAGAGCAATATGTCAAGAATGACTATTGTACACTTCTACGGTTTCATAAAAGTTTTAATTTTAAAAGTTTAAGCAATAGACAAAGATTTGAATTTTGTTATGATATTTTCTTATGAATTCTTAATTTTCTGTTTATAGTCAAAATCAATAATAAGGGAAAGGAAAGTATACTGGCATATTTTATCATAGTTCAAATAAAAGAGCTTTTTTGCCAAATAAATTGACAAACATGACCTTTTGCTTCTGCATTATTCTACAAAAAAACTCATTTTAATGACATTTATGTAATCACACTTGTTATGGAAATTGAGGATTTTCTTTCAATGATTATTGTATAAAACTTAAATATTTGTCTAATATTATGTTTAGTTTATCATGAGATAAGATTCATTTCCAAAAGGGTTTAGTAACTCAAATCAAGATAAGAAAGCCATAATTAATATGCTCTGATACAATGAAGATACATTATTATTTGAACCTGTTGCTTCCAAAATTCAGGAATTGCCAGTGAGCCATCATTAGGAGGTACGGCCTTTAAGAGGTGATTAGTCAAGAGGACTACTTCCTTGAGAGTAATTAAGGCTTTTATTAAAAAGATTTCATGCAGCCTTTGGCTAGCTTGCCTTTTTGCTTTTCCCTGGAAGCACCAAGGAGCCCTCACCAGACAACTAAACCTGCCAATACCTTGATCGTGGACCTTCCAGCCTCCAGAACTGTGAGAAAATACATTTCTGTCTTCTGTCTCAGGTGATTTTTGTTATAGCGGCACAAAGGGACGAAGACACAGTCCACAGCAGTTTAGCTATTATTTGTAGTTACACGAGAAAACACATCTGGGATAAAATGCTAGGTACTTGCATCTTCTGTTTATATGCTATATTTAGGTAGCACAATTGCTAGATCTATTGTCACCAAAAGATGCTTGTAATAACTGTCAAGTTATTTTCAGAAGATAAAAGCTCTGTGCCAGCACAATATCAAAAGAGAAGATGGAGACTCTTCAAGCAGCCCAACTTTCTTCATAATGTGTAAATAGTCTCAAGTTTCTTGATCATGCACTAGGAAATTCATGAACTGGAGAAATGATTCTAGTTCTAGTCCTCTGCTCCTAGGAACCTAGCAGTATTGAAGAGAGATGTGTCAATCATGCAAATAATGCAGCAATAACATTATAATATAGTATTTTAATACAAACAAAATAGTAATAATACAATATTCTAATATTACATTTATTTTGCATTTAAAAGACACACCCTCAAAAGTGTGGTGAGTGTTCGGTGAGTGGAGAAATCATTCGTAGGAAAATGATGAAAGATTTTTGATGACTTTGTCAATGAAAGATTTCAAAACATTGCACTGAGCAGTTGTTCAGTTTGGAGGTAATGGATGGAAGAGACAGTAGCTGGAAACCAAGAGAAAATGTGATGATAGCAGTTTAATAGAAACAATGAAAACAACCCAGAAGCTTGGCAGAAGTATAAGAAGTAAAATGATGTGAGATAATGCTGGAAGAGAGAATTGGAGTTAACTCATACCTTGAATGTCAAGCTAAAAAAATTGACATATTTTAGTAAGTAAGAAGAAACCTTTAAAATCTGTGCAGAAAATTGATGTAGAAAGAAATGTGCATTTGGAAACTTACTCTGCTACTGGTGTGTAATGAGTCAGAGAAAACCAGAGATCAGAGAGCAATTAGTAGACTGTTGTAGTGGTCCTGGCTTGCAATAAAGAAGACCAGAATTATGTTGTTGATGGGAGCAAACAAAAGACATTTTAGTATCAAGGAGGCTTTAAAATATATATGTCTTAGTAAGTGAGTTGAATGTGTGAAACAAGGAATCTGAGCAATCAGAGATAATTTCAAGATTTCAAGGTTAAATTCTAGTGGAGGAATGATTGTGCTATTATTAAATACGTTGGGGTCAGCAGGAGAAGCATATTTGGAAGGTAGTATAAGAAGTTTGATTTTGGTTATTGTATTATAGATAGGCTATAGAAATAAAACCACAGAGGTTTATTTCTCAGTCATATTGCATGTCTAAACAAATCAGTAGAAAAGTTCTTCCCAGTTAGGCTACTTAGAAACATATAGGAAAGAGAAAGAATGAACACTTTCACACAGGCTTTTTACCAACTGAATCAGCCTGAAAGTGATGCTCATCACTTCTACTCAAGATTGTGATATATTCAGTAACCAAAATATCACTGTTGGCACCTTCAATTACATTAATAAAGCTACACTTATTATTTTCACAAAGTGATTTGGAAGAATCTCACATGGAGAAAGTATTCGGTTCCATGACAGTAAGTCATTCACAATCTTTATAGATTTAGATTCTTTGTTGACCTGCAAATACCAGTCTAACTAAGGATCTAATTCTAGATTTGTTTAACTATTTCACTTTGATAAGAAATTGAATGAATAAGCTTTAGAATACAATTTATAATTATTGTCTACTGTATCAATGTAGTCACCTTTTTCCTTCTCAAAATCTTCCGGGGGAATGATGTTATAGTCACTCTATGTTCTAATCTCTAGCACTAGAGATTGTTAGGTTATTTTATTTTTATTTTTTAATTTTTGAGTAGGAGACTCACTCTGTTGCCCAGGCTGGAGTGCAGTGACATCCTTACAGCCACTGCAGCCTCGACCTGCTGGACCCAGGAGATCCTTCCACCTCAGCCTTCCAAGTTGCTAGAACCACAGGCACACGCCACCACGCCTGGCTAATTTTTCTGATTTATTGTAGGGACGAGATGTGGTCTCAAACCCCTGACTCAGGCAATCCCCTCACCTTTGCCTCCCAAAGTGCTGGGATTATAGGTGTGAGACACTGCACCTGGCTAAAGGTTTATTGTACATAGTCCTTGTTAATTTCTGGTAATTGTATGTTACCACATGCAGTGTTCTTTAACACCACGTTCACTCATTACAATTTTATCAACACTTGGAAGTTAGACCACGGACTTGAAAAAATTATAAAGCTAAATAACAAACCCATATATATATAATTCATGAGAGAATTTTAAGGTAGAAATCAAGTCAATGAGCCAGATTCTTCATTTTCCTATTTAAAAAAAAAACCAAGTTGAGTGCCTTTAGAAATGGTGTAATTCAGCATGACAACGATTTAACTCATAATGTAACTAATGCTACAATTATATATATATAATATTTTAAACTTGAATATAATATTCTATTATGTTACGAATTATTTATTATATATTTACGTTATATATAGGTGTGATGCACAACAAAGCTTTATTTAGACTATTGTGGGAAATTTTTAAATAAGTAAGTTTAAAAGACTGTAATTTAATTGTACCTTATTCAATTTGAAATGTTGAATCTGAATTCACTTTGGAAGAAGGGCCAACAGTTGAACATCACAAATAGGAATTTGTGTGCTTATTTATTTCGTTATGCAATTTATGACATAAAATTCATTATATATGTCTTTTTCTGTAAACTCACCAAAAACAACAAAAACATCTATAATTTGATAATCCAACGTATAATTCATAAGAGAGGATTTTAATGTAGAAATCAAGTCAATGAGCCAGATTCTCACTAAGATTGAGATGCTTCATTTTCCTATTTTAAAAAAAATTACAAGTTGAATGCCTTTAGAAATGGTGTAATGCAGCATGATAACAATTTAACTAATAACTAATGTCACTAATGCTACAACAAAGGTGCCTGACTCACAGTCAGGAAAAAGTGGACACCTTGTAAGATTCTGACTTCAAGCAATGAGTTTCACATCATGTTCAATACTGCAGTCTCCATCAAAGAAAAGTGCTTCATATGCATAATCTCTGCCAGAAACGTCCAATTAGCTAAAGAAAGAATAGGTTTCCAAACAGCACATATTTTCCAGAAGTCTAGGGTCTTTTAATTGAATACATGATTAATAGAACACAAGCTGCTATTGCAATATCCTGTGTAAGAAAATGACTGAGGTTAACTGAAAGCCACTTAGACAAAATAAAGGGCATATACATTTAATAAAAGCTCACTTCTGATAATACACAATGAAACTCTCATGGACACAAATTGCTTTTATATTTTAAAATAACCTTTTAGTACCAGCAATTACAACAAATAATAGAATTTTTATTTATTTATTTTTAAAAATAGCATCTTACTTTAGAAATCTACTACAATAAGAGATTGCATTACAAGGTCACTTACAACTGTTGATTTTCTAATGTTCAGAATTATAATTTTACTATCAGTTGCTTACAATTTATCAAGTTTCAAGTTACCATTTTTTCTTTTGTTCTTAAATTTAGGTCATAAAGGTACAAGCCAAAAAATTGAATTTTTAATTTTATGTTTTTAAAATAAAAATTTGTAACAAGGACTTTTCATTTTAGAAGATACTGACTTTTTATTATGGAACCTTAATTAGTACTACATTTAAAAGAATTCTTAGACAATGTATATGTACTGGAAACAAATATAGGATACACAGACTCACACTCACAGTAGCAATGAAAAAGGCACTGTTGAATTATACAGAAAATCACTTGAGTATTTGAACACAAAACAATGAGAACTGTAGAGGCACGTCACCCTCTTAAAGGGGTAAGTAATTCAGAGGTTCTCTGTTTAAAACCTCAACTGCATTTCTCTTGCCATATGTGTTGGATCCCACATTGGTCGGTGAGAGAATGGCACCAAAGTTGTTGCTGGAACGAACTAAAAAATGTGCCAGGTTCTGCATTGCACATGTGGCGGTGTTGCATTTCCGTTTTTCCACCTGATGACTGGTAACATTGAACAAATATAAAAGGTTAGAGACGTAGAATAGGGATTTCATACAGCCACTGACACCAGTTATCTCATATTTATGAAAACAAAAGGAAATATTTTCACACAATTAACTCAATACCTTAGTCTGCAAACATCTGGATGACAGATTTTTTTTGATACCTTAAAGAAGCAACGGAATCAATTTCTTACTGGGAGTCATATATATTATTCTATTATAGTTAGCATTGCATTTCCCAGTATAATTTTTTTAAAAAAATTCAGACTACATTACAGATAATAATAATAAAGTGTTTTTGTCATATATTTTTAAATGTCGATAGATTTATGTTTCTATATATAAAAATTTTAGGGTGTAATTTTTTTTTTTTTTTTTTTTTTGAGTTGGAGTCTCACTCTGTCGCCCAGACTGGAGTGCAGTGGCCGCTCCCGGCAACCGCAGCCTCAACCTGCTGGGCTCTGGCGATCCTTCCGGCTCAGCCTTCCAAGTCGCCAGAATTACAGGCATGCGATACCACGCCCAGCTGATTTTTTGATTTACTGTAGAGATGAGGTCTTGCTGCCCAGGCGGGTCTCGAACCCGCGGGCTCAGGCAATCCACTCACCTCAACCTCCCAAAGGCGTGGGATTACAGGCTGAGCCATCGAGCCCGGCTAGTGTGTAAAATTTATATGGAACTTGGAATATGTGGAAATAGAAAAAATATTGCTCACATCTTTCCAACAAGAATTAAGCAATATCAGTTAATTTTTAAGTTCCTGGAAGTCAGTGAATCAAAAGTGTTAGAAGGAAATTCTGCAACATGCAACAACACAGATGAACCTTGAGGACATTATTCTAAGTGAAATAAGCCAGTCACAGAAAGATGGATACTACATGATACCACTTATTTGAGGTATTTAAAATAGTCAAATACCTAAATCAAAGAGTTTTGGAATGGTGGTTACCAGGCCCTGAGAGGAGGGAAAAAGGGGAGCTATTAACCAATGAGCATAAAGTCTGAGTTAAGAAAGATTTATGAGTAAGCTCTAGAAATGTGCTATACAATATTGTGCCTATAATCAACAAGAATTTGTGATATATTTCTTAAGAGGGTAGATTTTGTGTTGAGTTCTCACCATACTGAAATTTAATATAATTAAAAAAGAGAGAATGTCAGGTATTGTACAGTCTCAAGAAAAGTCTACTTTATCACCTATCCAGATACTCTAACTATTGCATTATAGTTCTCTCACTCTTAGTATAAATACATGAACATTACCATTTTCTTGCCAGCTGCTTGGACCCTATGGTTTTTAACAATTTTAATGATAGGGCCACATTAAATGTTAGAATCAAAAGATTTTTATGTCAACGGTAAACATTTTGCTACACTTTTTTAGCCACCAAGACAATATAGACATGTCAGAAATCACAATCGTGAATTAAAGAATTCATTTAATTTTAACTTAGGTTTCAATTTTAAAAATTTATGACAGCTCTATATTTTTGTACTACATTTTGTTTCATAGTGTTTTCAAAATGATATTGGAAATGTGTACAAAATAATGACGTTGCTTCCTCTTTGCTGATTGTTAGGAAAGTTAGGGAAATGTTTTTGTTTTCAGCTCCATAGAAATCAATGTATTGGTGAAACTTAGAATAAATGTAATGTGTAAAGTGATACAGTTATGGAGTTAAAAACTTAATGTTCAAAAGTCAGTAGATACACATAATTTGGGACTAAATGCAATAGATTTATCTCAATGTGTTTACTTTAGAAGGGGACTATTTCATTTTCTCTGTTTTTGTATAGAGATAGCCTAAAAGTAAAAGTTTTTACTGTTTTAAAATTTCTTGGAAAACTTTTTAAAAAATCTTTTTTACTCTTATAGTTCCTCCTAAATACAAAAAACTCTTTTTACATTAGTTGAGTGTAAGAGTATGTTGACAGTTATTTAGGCAAAGGAAATACACTTTGGCCTAATTATTTTGTATATATAAATCTTATTAACTGCCTATTCAACTATTTTTCTTTGAAGTTGTGGTAAATATGACCAGTGTACATTAAAAAAAATGATTTAATGCTTTTAAGGGTGAAACCAATCATTCCATACCCTGTGCATTAAATTCTAACAGACAAAACTTTTCCTAAAAATTAGCAAGAATTGTAATTTGGCCTAAACGACACCTCAGATGAATCCATTTAAAGCACTAAAGAAAATTATAGGCCAAGATATGTTTAGCAAGTGGCTGGAACAGTGTGAAATATTCTCTATGCTAAATGCTAAGCAAATCAATTATAGGATTTTAAATTTTTCTAAATAAAATGTGATCTTATTTGAATTAGTTAGAAGGGCCATCATTCTACCTTAAAATATATTGAGTTTTTATCTTTGCTTCATAATTGTGAAATTGCCTTTCTAAACAAGACGTTTCGCCTAAATATACTAGTCAGCATGTTTAAAATTCTATCCAAAGCAATCATTAGGATGAAAAAAAAAAACCGGTTGAAATAATTAGTGAAAAGTATCACATCCCTACATTCAGGTACTTTTCCTTACTGACTACCTGTACAGATAAGGCCCATCTGCCTACCTAGGTAGTAACAAACAACTAAAACTACTGACCACTTATATGCATTTACAAACATGAACATTCCTGACTTTATGAGAATTTAAGCAGCGTTAACAATGAGTCACACTCTAACTCTTAAGTTGTTTCTCTTTGAAATTGTCTCTAAAGTGTTTTATATTTATTTATTTATATATTTTTAAAGATGTGGGATACAATTCAAGATTAGGTGCAGAAGTGGTCATCATACAGGTGAAGTTTGGGCCTCCCTTTGGTCCTCACTTCGCCTGGTTTGGGATCAGCACCCTCCCCCCAACCCCCCCCCCAGCTCTTTCTCCCTTGGTTGTTTATTTCTGTGATAGATCACTCAGTATGACAGACTCTAAATCCATTGCTCCTACAGGGAACTCCTAGTAATTGTAGCTTGGCCCCTATGTGAGTAAATTTTTGACTACTTTCTGATTGCCTTATGGGCAGATATTTTCAACAGAGCATAAAAATGTTGATGGGAAAGTATATGATCTTTTTGCCTTAATCATGAGCATTTGGTATGGTCTGCAAAGTCAGTTTGTTAATTCTTAATCCCATTTTTATATATGTATAAAAGTTTAAAAAATCTCAAATGAGATGATTGAATTTTATGAAGAAAATGACATTGAATAATCAATCTACATTAGCTTTATTTTTTAATGACTAAAATTTGAGAGATGTTCTATATGAATTTTCTTAGCTATTTATGAGAGTTATAGAATATTACATGACTTAACAGCACAGGATGCTAAATCATAACCTCTTAAAAAAAGAAAAAAAAGACCAACATACTGACTTCAGGAAACACATTAAAAAGCAATTTGAAGAATGTTTGGTGAGTATTTATAATAATAATTCAAAGTAAAATATTGTGAAAATAGCTTGAAAATAATTTGATAGTAAGTAATGTTATGCATTATTCTATTTTTCAGAGAGGTTCACCTCATAATAAGTAAACATCCATAGAGACATACAGGGTAAAGGTACTTAGTAAATGTCTATATATAATGAGAGAGAGAGACAAGATCAAGGTATAGACACACATAGTAGGTAATGCTGCTAATTTTCCTGTTGTCTTCAATTGTTCTGTTTATCCAAATGTCATGCCAGTTTTAAAGTTGTCTTTATCCATGAAAAAGCCAACCAAAAATTACAGTCAGTTCTGAGAAGAACATCCTGTAAACTAGATCAGCCCTGAAATAATGAAGACAATCCTATGATTCCTGCTATTATACATTGATGCTGTGGGAATCTTTACCTACTGTCATGGACTTCCACCCCAATGAAAAACACTCTAGAGGAAAACAAAGACAAGATATTGGTAATTCTCACGGGAAGAGTTTTAATATGACTTAAAGCATACTCTTTTCAAAGGTAAATTTAATTATTCTTGGTGTTAAAGAATGTGTAGTTTCAGTTCCATAAGACTATGGAGCAAAACTGATTTAGGTAAAAACAAATGCCCATTATACTATTTATGACCTATACATAGTTTTGAACTTAAGATTCTTTTAAATAAATGGAGAATTTAAATTTTAAAGGATTTCTATTAGAAAGTTATAAGTTCTGCTAATAGTTTCACCTGATATAGTTTTTAGACTTCCTTCAAATAGTCATTTAAATGACATAAAACCTTTCATAATAGGCCTTCCTAGGAAATCCTGATCACACGCTACCTAATAAAAATAATTTTAATAAGTATTAATTTTCATAAATAGCAGCTCAGAAGTAATCTCATGAAGAACAACTTTTTATAATTCTATTTTATTAACAGAATAGTCAGCAATACAGACTGAGACTCTAATAGAAAATGACTTTTTAACTAGTTAAGGTTAACATCTTCAGTATTTTGATTTACTCCCTGATTATTTCTATACACTTCAATTTCCAGGAAATATAAAAGTTTCCTTTTTTTTTGAGGAGAAAGTTTCCTTTGAGGAAAACAAAAATCTATGTAAATACACAATACAATTCTACCTGATGTTAAATGTAAATATGCTTTACTTAAGTTTCTCCAGTTATTTGCAGTGTCAGGGTAATGTAGTAGAAATTACTACCTTTTGGATTTTCCTTCTTTGTATTCCGGCTTTGCCCCTCTAATTTCCAGCAGCATATTTCTTGACAAAACTGGAACTATCCATTCCTGTCTGTCAGAAGTTTCATCAGAGAGATTTATCAGCCACTGGCATTATGCTTTAAAGAACGCAGAATTCAAGAAACAATGGAACAGCTGAAGGTACTGTTCTTAAGCATGATTTAGTCAGAAATCTAATGGCACAAGGGCTATTAATTGTGTTGCAGTACTTAATTCTAATTTCCCCACACTTTACAAAAGAAACAGAATTTTAAAGTTACCAACCTTTTGACAGGTATAGCTCTTAGATGTTGTAATGCAACAGAGAGCACAATGAGTGCTACTGGCAGCTTCAGGATGCACATTGCGTCTCAAGTTTTCTGAAAATAATAGTCCAGTACTAAAATCAATAAATTTCTTACAGTTCTAATTGATGCAATTTTAAATTAGAGCCTTTCAAAAATATTTTTAAAACATAATTTACAAGGATCAACATTTTTTATTGTATAGTCCCTTAATACTGTTCAATTTTCCAGTATTCTGTAAACAATCAAAAAATTATTTTATAATACATTATTCCATTAGTCCTTATTTGAAATAAACCATATGCTTAGTACCAAGTCTGGTTTTCCTTAAATAAATAATACTTTATCAGAAATAGAATATTCTTTACCTTTTTAATGTTTCGGTGTCAGCAATGTCAGCCAATGCCTTTGAGAGCAAGAAAGTCTCATGAAAAGAGCTCAAGCCTGCATCCAGTGGAGTATTTACCCCCTCATTTGGTAACTAGTAATCTCGCTCTTATATACCCCTTACACCTTTGTAAACTCTGACATTAGGCAGTTCAGAGACACTTTGTCATTAATTTCCATCCCTATAGATAGAAAGTGCCTCCCAGACAGCAGAAGCAGATGGGTCATCATCACATTAGCACATCAGTAAATATTAACGTAGCAAATACAGAGTATCTTTGTGCAGTTAATGGTGTGTCATACACAGCATAAATTTGAATTTGCCATCTTTTTTGTAAGACACAAATGAATTTTCAAGGATTAAATGTATGTGTTAGTAAGGAATTGATAAAAAGGTGTTTAAGAATAACCTCAAATATGTGCATATGCAAAGGGAGAAGCCAGAGATTTTGAGGAATATTCCTAAACCAAATGACCCTAGTGGCTTAATCCTATGAACACTCAGAAACAGATTGAGATGTAAGGGCAAGGTATATGAAAGGACATACAAGGAAAATCAAAAGCCATTTACAATAAGGTAGGGGTTGGATTAAAGGCATAAAAGCAGTAATTTTATAACCAGAAACTCATTTGTCAGCATTTAGAGATGCTGACTATATGTAGTCCAGCAGTTCTTTTGATGACTTTTTCCATTAGCATGTAGAAATATCACAATTATTTTGAAAGAACAATTTTTCGCTTTAGCTTCATAGGAAAATTATGAATGACTTGACTCAGCAGAGTACTCTAATTTGTCTTTTAGGATAATTTATTATTTTTTATTTTCTCCAAATTGTTCTTTCCTTTTTCTTGAATTTCTAAATTCTATTTGTTTTAGTCTAAGTTACAACAACTTAATATTATATGAAACAACTGAAATAAATTCCAACTGTCAGTAAAAATGTGCATGTCTGAATAATTTAAATAATACTGAAGTTCTTCAGGTAAAAAAGTTAAGTTTATTGATTTCATATACTTCTTAAAAGCTTAATAATATAGTTTGAGAGTATTTGGTAAGGTTCAGGAGGAAAGAAACAAAGTTGTTTTCAATCTTATTCTAATTATTTGGTGATTCTATAATTTTAATATTTCTGTGAACTTTACTGAAATCCCAAAAGGAAAGAAAAGATAAAATAAAGTGATTTTAAGACAATGACTTGTCTGTAAGACAATGTATTTAACAAGGTGAGCGATTGCAGTGATTTAGAAATGATATAGAAATCCCAAGATATTAATATTGTCTAACATCAAACAGTGCTGAGTCCTGGACCAGGACTTATGGTCTAGTGCTCATTTTCTGACTTTTCTGGCTTGTGGTCTTGTGTTCATTTAGTTAAAAAATGCTTGCCTCTAACCTATATGTTTTAAAATTTTATCTTCATAACTTTTTTCTCTGAGATATTAATGGTGCCAAACATAACGTTTAAACATGGATCCTTCTTCAATCCCTGAGAAATTCATATTATTAAAAAAAAAAAGTTACCTAGCAAAGAAACACAGAGACTTGATATTTTTTTAAGAACCACCATATGCCAGGCATAGTTACTTAATTGATATGTGATACCTCACTTCATCTTTACACCTCTAAGGTAGGTATCATTTGCCCCAATTTATAGATGATGAAACTGAGATTCAGAGACTATAAGTGATTTGCTGGAGGTTACACAGCTGCTCGGGGGCAGAGTGAAGTTCAAATTCTCATCTTTTTGTCCCAGCATGTTTGTTTCTTTGTTGAAAAGAATCTTTATTCTCATATACTAAATTGTCAAATGCTTTCTCTAAGTTGTATATCTTGTTAGAACACCCTGAATGATTTTATTATAGCCAGACATAGCCTTATGTTGGTTTTGTGTAATGCTTTGCAACTTTAAAATATCAGTCTGATTGTTGTATGTGGAGTGGATCAGAAGGTGGCAAGAGCGAAAACAGAAAATCTATTCGGAGGCTATGTCAGTGTTCCGGGCACGAGATGATGAGGACTTAGACCAGGGTGATGGCTGAGGAATCAGAGAAGTAAATGAGTTCAAATCATTTTCAGAATCGTAACATGATTTGACAATGAAGTAGGTAAGGAGAAATGGAGTATAAACATAAGTTTCAGGTGAGACTATAATTCATAATATGGATTAATGGGCTTCATCAAATTGTAAAAAGTAAAAGATGTTTTGTATATCTTTTTAAAAATAATTTTATTTTTTATCAAATTTGTATCTGTCACAGTTTTAAAAACTCAAACAATGTTACACAATTAAAAATAAAAATAGCAATTCTTTCCCTTATTTCTATCTACCCCTGAATTTTACTCTCCACAGGTACTCAATTTTGACAATTTTAGCTTTTCCTCCACATTTCAAAAATACTTACTTCTCTGGACACACTTGATTTATCGATTTTAAATGCTATATGTTGACATCCTACATCAGAGGATGAAGATTCAGCACTTAACATTCTCACTTGTCTTCTCTACCACTCTCCTAAAATAGTTTAATTAAAAAACTGGGGTTATATCAATATTAGATATATGCTTTTTATATTTACATTTTAAGGTTTTTGTTTTAGGAACTTTCAAATGTACATACAATTTTAACAGTTATCAGCAAATGTTCTATCTTTTTTCCTTTATTTTCCCATCCAGTTTTCTCTGACCTCACTCTGAATTAACTAAGACAAACCCTAGAGAACATGTCATTTTACCTGTATATCTTTTGAGTGTTATACCTGTAAAAGACAAGGAAACTTTATACATCATAGTATAAAACCATTATCAAACCTAAGCATGAAATATACAAGAATTCCTTAATATCATTAAATAATTTATTCAATGTTCAAATTTTACAGTTGTCTGGAAAAAAAACTTGTAACTGCTTTGTTGGACTCAGGATCTAAATAAGATTGTTTTGATTGCTCTGCCTCTTTTAACTCTTTTCATATATAACTTTCTCTCTTTTCTTTTTCTTCCTATTGTTTTATTAAATAAATTATGTCATTTTTTGTGTAGAATTTCCCACATTCTGGATTTTACTAATGACATGCATACCGTGGTATTATATAACATGTTCCTTTATCACTTGTATTTCCTCTATACTCCTAGTTTGATCTAGAGGCTTGATCTAATTCAGTTTTCTTTATTTTGGCAAGAATACTTCTCATATGATCCTGTATATTTCCTATTGTATCACATCAGGGAGCACATAATATCTGGTTAAATCTGTTTTAAAGTATTAAAATGATCAGTGAGTTCAGATGGCAACCAAATTGTATGTTTTGAGTTCTCCTTCCACCTTTCACCTGCTGGTAGTAGTATTAATAGTTATTGGTGGAATCATTGCTTATTAGGGGTTGCCAGATAGTGATAGTCTAATTCTATTATTCCTTTACCATTTATTCACTGAAACTCTTTAATAAAGGAAACATCCCTCATTAACTATGTGGTCACCTTGAGGTAATTTCATTTACTTATTTATTTGTTTGTTTGTTTTTATGGCAGAGTCCAGCTTCAGCAGGTTCAGGGTTTCCCGAAGGATGAGCAGCGTTGGTGAAGGAATGAACACAGACCCAGTGCTTGTGTGGGACTGCTCATTTATTAACAGCAAGCGTTATATACCTTTTTGTTACATAACTTTTAGATATCATACATCATTCAAATTTCCCAAAACAGGTTTCTTAGAACATAGATGATAGTTATGTGCAACCTTCTGAGTATTCTTCTCATATTTTTACGATTAGGTGGACAGTCATGTGAAACCTTTTACGTACTCTTCTCATACCTTAACAATTAGATACAATTATTTTCCTTAAAGATATGAAGCAAAAAAGTATGCGATTATTCCTTTAAAGTTAAATACACTCATTACACAGAAACGCCATTACACTATACTTAAATACCCATGATCTTTCAAAATTAAACATAAACCTTCTGTTAAAACTAATGTCTAATCTTTTCCTAGACATCACGTAACAGCAAAGGTCAACCTGTTATATATTTAACTATAGCCAGGTACACTTCAGCAAATATTTTCTGCCCCAAGGGACTAAACTTTTATTTGTGTAATCATAGAGAAACCAATCTTCGGAACACTGACATTTCTCGGGGTCCTGCCGATACAAACTGCACAAAAATCTACAATTAGTGGGCCTCCATCTACAGCCCCATATCTCTCTGACTCATCTCCAATCAAGACCAAATGGTTCCAGTTTGCTTTTAAGGAACACATGATATTTAAAGTTTTTATTTATAATTCCTTGGCAGGGGAAGTGGGTTCCTGCTCATGCACTGGCAGGATGACCTCCAGGGCCCCTATAATACCAGCCCCAGTTTCTTAGCATAATGTTGGGGGTTTCCCTTAAGGGTGTATAAAATTAGTCTGGTAATTTAATGGGGATATCTAGGTGTGTCAGGCTATGATTTTTCCTTTCTGTGCTATAACCACAGGGTGAGTAGATAAAATTCCCCGCAACCCCCCGAGTCTATTTTCTGTGGTTGATTAGCAAGCTGCAGTTTCTCAACCCCTAGGATTTCCACCGGCAGCATGACTAAACAAAGCAGGAGAAGCAGAACCGCTGCTTTCCTGGATGTACCATGCCATCCGGAGTCATCAGTCTCCTTGGCCATGTCAGAAGGCAGACCTTTGCAG